ACAGTACGTCACTATGTTCAGATCTCTTGTTTTCTAATGAGCAGGGGGATGACTGGCTTCCAGTAGATCTATCTAATTGGGAAGACAGCTTCAGGTCTGTGTATTTACTTAAGACCTTGAATGGAAGAAAAGGAAACCCAGTGCTAACTGTGTTTTCCAGGAAATTTACCACATCACATATGAAACAACTCAAATTATTCAATAATTAGTCTATGTAATATTCCTATAAGATCAACTTAGAGTAGGAGGTCAAGAAGGTGCTGGGAAAGTGTTTTATTCTCACTGAACCTCTAAGAGTAAAGAAAGAAAGGAGGCATCTGATGGGTAAAGGAAACAAAATTGGAGAAGCTCACACTCTTTCAATTCACCCAAGTGACAAATTCATGTAGATAATTACAGAAATTTGATGTGTGCTTCTAAACAACTCTCAGGATTTTTCTAAGAAGGTTTGCTGACTTTTGTGTTTTTACCCCACCTAAAAGTGTGGTATTTTCCCATGTATTCCCTAAGGGCATCTTGCGCAAACCATGTTGTGATGTTTGTGTATTTTGTGTTGTGTTTTGTTTCTTTGTGGATAAGGAACATGTCATAATCATTTTTATAACTCAAACACATACTGTTGGACTTGAATACATGTCATGTGCTCAATGTTTGCTAAAATAAAGCAAAAAAATAAGTTTTAAACAAATGATTGATTCAACAAAATTAACTAAAATTTTTCTCAAAAGCTTTTAATGTAGCCTTAGAGAAACTGTCTCAAAAGTAGTCATAATAAAAAGGAATGTATTCTGATCTTCATAGGTTAAATGATTGAAATCAAAGTTCTTAGATATTTAGCACTTACCTACAGGAGGAAGCCTGAAGGAATAATAATTGTAATGTTGTCATGAAACTTGGATTCTAACTGGGACTCTTCTGAATGCATCTTTCCACTGAAAAATAACACTAAGTCATCTTTATAGGAGAGTGTTGACTTCTGACTCATCTAACATGATTAGATCAGACTTATTCCTCCTTTGCTCTGCTTCTTTACTAAGGAAAAATGATAAGCTATTATTGGGAAAATATTAAGAATATTTCAAGTAAATATGATAAAAGTCAGATATATACAAAGTCAATAAATCAGTGAACTCAATTTTTGAAGACTCTATACCTTTAACCAAAATATCTTTTCATTCTATATTTAAATATATAACTAATTAGATACATCAAATCAATGCAAAATCAACTTGGATACATTTGATAAGGGGAAGGTTGGTTTAATATTCAGCCTTTTATTAACATTTGAGTTTTTGTTAATATAACAAGACACAGTGTGAAACTATAGGCTTGGAAAGAATAAAAGTGTACAGAAGAAGTTAACTTTAAGGATCTCTACAGTGATTTTATATTAGTATAATCCCTTAGCTTTAATACACATTTAGCAGTGAGGCCCTGACTCAGAGTTGAAGCAGAGTTGCATGACCACATAGTATATTGAATGTGCTCAGGACAATTCAAGTGGAAATAGATCACAGACCTTCAATTATTCATATTGGCTCCCTTGATCAAAACCAATTCACTGGATAATTATACACTTCTCCATCCCTTTGGCCTGATAAGCTCTAATTGAGTTAGGGGATAAGGCAGCAAACTGAACTTTATGTTGGTTGTTTGTTCCTTGGGTTTAGCTTTAAATATGGAACTTTGGCTTTAAATTAGGATTATCTATACTTACAAGATGGCCGGAAACTCTTGGGTCTTTTTCTTCAAGTGGATTTTTTTGAGTGTTGTCAGTCTTTGGTTGAGATATTTTCTATGGGTCTGTTGTTAGGTGGTGCACTAATGCATTATGCATGATTCCTGGCTGCTCTTTGTACAAACAAGCTGCACAGTGTTCCCCTGTGATTTCCCACATATGCTGAGTCTGCAAATTTCTGATAATATTTACTCGGTCAGGAATAATTTTTTTCATAATATTAATACCGTACTTTCATGATAAGTTATCAGGGATGAATAACTTATCTACTGTACTTATGTAAAACATTTAAATATTTAAAGCATCAAAAAGTAAAAAAAAATCTTCCTTCACTGACATTACTCAGTGAATATATTTTCTCAGTAATATGAAGCTTTTATAACATTGATTTATTATATTAAAAGTAAATGCAAAACTTCCGGAATAAAACCTTACCCTAAATATTTATAGTTTGAAAGTAAATCTTATTAGTGTTCTGTATGAACCATTAATTATAGTAGAAGAGGATGAATTAGTTTTCATTCCTTATATATCACCAACTTCAGAATACATAAAATCTTTATTTTCCAGGAATCCTTGGATAGCAGTAGTAGAATATATAAACATATAAAATTAGAGCTAGAGAGATAGTTGAGCAAATTAATGGACACTGTAGGAGGGATAAGTGTTAGGGTGAAAAAGTCTTGACACAAGGTTTTGAGAGTTGCTTTCTAGTCTGAATGCTGCTGTTCCTTCAGTGGTGCAAAAATGGTAGTCTTTCTCTACTCGTTTATAAATTATTGGTCACATTTGCCCTGCCCACCGAAGATTTTGTAATGGTCAAATAAAATAACATCTATGGGGATGCTTTGTAAGCTATCCAACACTATATCAATTGAGTGCTGTTATTTCATTAGGTCTTGGCACTATGAAGTTATGTCCAATTGATCGATTATGGGACCATACATTTCCAGGTATCTATTGAGAAAGCTGCCAGTGAAAAAGACAGTTTCATTCATTTTCTTTGATATTATAAAATTAATACCTAGGAGAAAGCTTAGAAAATCAACTTTAAAAGCCATTGCCTCAAAATATACACATTAAAAAGAAAAAAAAAAATACCAGACTTGCCGCTTGAAAGTGAGTTCAGTAGGTTAGGAGGATTGCTCTATGAGTCAGCTAATCGGATCATGCATACCAGGTTGTAGTGATTCCCTGAATTTTCGCAAAAATGGGCCTCATGATTTAGCTGAAGGCAAAGTAAATTCAGGGAGGTACTATAAGGCTGTGAGGTCCTGAAGAGTTTCAGGGAAGGTGGGAAGAGAGCACAGATTATCAGCTGATCTACAGAGACGTAAGCAAAAATAATGACTGTCAAAGGCCAAATCATGTTGAAATGAAAGAAGACCCATACAGGTTTCCCTCATCCTAAGCTAAAGTGTATTTTGGATATAAATATTCTCCATTATTTTTGCTATTTGAGAGGCTCTGGAATCTTTAAATGTACACTTTAAGAATATTTAGTATACTTCATCAGATTGCACAGTACTACCTAAATCAAATTACACAAACAGATTAAGACTTTTCTATAATCATTACAACCCTTTCCTGTATGTGTAATTTTAATAAATCTGATTTAATAGCTAAATTTCCACAAAATTATCATCTTACAGTTATATTTTCTGCAGTATTCACTGTGCCAGATTCCACCGGAAACACTTCCAAATAATGAAAATGAATTCAGAGTGAGGGTAAACAGTTTGGACATTTGTTAAATCAGGAAAGCTGCCTCTTAATGGGTGCCACTTAACCTTGGTTTGAGCCCATGATACTTCACAAGAAAATCATACAAAATTGGGTGACATTGCTGGAAGAAAGCTAGTCTGCAAACAAACCTCAGCCCTGCAAGCCAGCAGGGTATTTCATGTGCTGTGGGGGTACGTGTGTTAATTTAAATAAATAATATTTCAAAGAAACTTTAGGTTTAGCATTTCACCATATAATCTTTGAAGGTATACTCCAGATCAAATTAATTTATTGATATCATCCTCTTCCCCTGTTACTGTCTTTTTCTGGGTGTTTTATGACACCATCTAATATAATGATACTAGGAAACATGGAAAAGTGACCCAGAAGTCGAAGAATCCCACCATTTCCCTTTGAGCATTCAATACCTACAAGCGAGAATTTCTAATTGGTGTCTATTTTTGAGGAAGCTGCTAAGATAATTACTGAGGAGAATGAACAGGGAGAAATATAAATTCTTTCCTTCATCAACTTAGAACAGCAATGGATAAAGAACTATTTCTATATAAATAAAGAGCTACAAGAGTAATAACCTTTTAAAACTGTGTGGATAATTCTTTGAAAGTTCATAAAACATCTCATTAAAACAAGAATAGTTTCTTTTACCCCAGTGCCTCTATATTCTCATTCATGGCAATACTCATTGGCTCTTCTCCGACACTCTTCCTTTAACTTGCTGGTGCTTTCATATATTATGCCAGGAGAAACTTAACCTCAAGGAGACCCCTCCATCAGCTTCTGTGATGTATTAGTCACTGTCATTCAGCAATGAAGGATTCAAAAGCTTGGCGATGCATGCTTTTCTTACTTAACAATGTAGACCAACCTTTTAAATGTACTTCAACGTTCTTGTGAATAATATCTGGTCAGCATAAATCAAGACTGTGCAGCGCAGTTGTATCAATTGTCTTGTTCTCTCCTTGCCCTTTGGTTCCTTGATCTGCCACCGACATTACCCGAATTCACTCAGTCTGCTAAATATGTCTCACGAAGAAGAGCTCTCATTGTCAGGTGCTCTAAAAATAGATTAAAGAGATCTTATAATTTTGAACACAATGTAGACAGAGAATCAAGTTCTAAAACCACCTGTAACATGCCTTTGCAACATGGATTTACAATACACTTTGGGCTTCAATGGGATCTGGTGTCAGGAAATCATCTACTTAATGAGGCATCAATTCTAAGCCAAAAAGAAAACTAATGACAAAGCTTTGCCCCTACAACTGAGCCATTATTTTTAAAGCTATTATTAAATTTTTAGTACATTTTAGAAGTCCAGCAGAATTAATGAACTTATGAAAGCTCTCAACAATATTTTATGATGAATGGACCCTTATATTTTAACGTGGATGCCATTATTTCTGTAGAACTAAACCAAAATATTTACGGCATTTTTATAGGGCTAGTTAATTTATTATTTCAGTCATTCATGGATTGAAAAAAATGAACTTGATGTTTTACTCTAAAATGCTAATGGCCACTTACCTGGCATTTGAGACGATGGTCACGGAGACGGTCTTCCCAGCATGAGGCTGACCCATTGCACGCGGATGTGCCGACCTCTGCGATTTCCTCAAATGTGGGAAATTCAGCTGCACAATTTGTGGTAGTGAGGCGCTGCCTTCACACTTTCCTCTATTTTTTTTTAATAAAAAAGTAAAATGGGGCCGGGGAGATGACTCAGTGGAATAAGCGCTTCCCTGGCAAGCGCAAGAACCTGAGTTCAATCCCGCTTCCACAAAAAAAAAAAGTAAAATAAAATGCTAATGGAATAATATGCCAAAGTATTTCTAGAAAAATATGCCAGTCAGTACTAAATAAGCAATAATGTGTAATTATTTATTTCAGTATGCATTCTTTAGATTTAGCATTAGCTTTTTTCTAGTGTCAAGACCCGTCCCTCTCTTAATTCACACTATGCATCCATGTATGTTCCAGTTGTGTGAAGCTAAGTTAATTAAATTCAGTTAAATTTTATGTCTCTACTGTACTGTTGAAAATACACAAAACCCATTTTGTTTTTTAAGGTACAAGTTATTGTCAGGGAGATAGCTCAGTGACATTATGCATGCCTGACAAGCACAAGGTTCTGAGTTTGATCCCTGGTGCAGAAAGAAAAAAAGGTCAAAGTTATTTTGTTTGAAAGCAAAAACTCAAGTTTTTATTCTTATTTTTAGCAGTTTATTTTTTTCCAGTACAGGATATTCACTTGAACATTATTAACAGAAATGTTAATACATGGTAGAAGATACTGTGCATAATGGAAAGAGAGGTATATAAATAAAACCTGAATTTATTGTAGGGTAAACTTATTGTAGAAATTGATGGCAATGTCTAAGTGACCATCAGTGATGGCTTTGGGAAAGGCATGAAGGAGTTAGTACAGCTTGGAATGTGGGAGATCTGATTTAGTTAGCTGGCATTTAATTTTTCCTCCTTGAATGTCTCAGTATCCTTATAATTCAGCAATTTGTAATCTTAGTTTAAATACTTTCAGTTTTGAAGCTCTAATTATAGTTTATATAATTCGTGTTTTCCAAAGAACACTGTTTCTTTCTACATAGAAATGTTTGTGTATTTCTTTCAAATGTTTAAATATTTTAGCATTGGTAATAGGAAAAAACTCCTTATAATAGCTTTATTATAGCCTTATTGAAGAAAATGGAAGCTATATGTTAGAAGTCTAAAAAAAAGAGTTAATTTTGAAATTTGACTACATCATTTTTAGTGGGATTCATAAATGTGCATAATGTTTGCAGGCAGAAAAGTAACAATAATCACAGCTGCACAGCATTAAATTCAGAATTCATAGTGGTTGTGGATATTTGACAACCTGAAAATTGCCTATTGCTTATAATTTTATTTTACAATTTTCATGAAGGAAAACTCCTGTTCTTTGACACTTTCCTAGGAGAGATTTTTATCCTTCAATGTCATGTTATTCCCCACGTCTGGCCTTTTCACTGCTTATCCTTATGACCACACTACCAAGAGTAAGGGAGGAGCTCCTATAAATTTTGGAGCTTTCAACTGAGGGTGGAGCTAAAATTCATCTATATTTCATGGTTCATAGATTCAATAATGATGGGGATTTTGTCCTTTAGAAGAAAAAATTTTGTGTATAAGTTTATCCAGAAAGTGAGAAAGATACTCAGTTGTATTTTCAGTAGCACTTTTCATGGCTGGGTCATTCCACTGTGTTAGTGAATTGCTTTATAAGGTAACTATGCTTTTTTTTTTAATCTATTAGGAAGTAGCTGATGAAAAACCATTTGGTTGTTTTACAGAAAATCAAGTCAGTTGATTGCATTCAGTGATCAGAACTAATTAATTAATTATATCTAAACTAATTTTAAGTGTCATTGTTATTTTCAATATTAAAACAACCAATACTCATTTCTTCGTGTCATATACATGAAGCATGTATATACATGTATGTATGAAGATAGACACATAAATGACACAAATAAAGGCGTGACACTGAAAGTATGAATACACATTCTCTACCTTCCATGTATTAATGCATTAATTAATATGATCCAGCAACTGAATTCAGCATAATCTGAACAGCAGCCTAAAATTGTGTGTAATTCAGGCCATGGGACTGTTAGCTAGATTATTTTAACTTGAATTGCAGCTCTGCCTCATTTTAATAATGGTCTTTAGGAAAATGAATGAACTTTTTGTAATTCAGTTCCTTTATTTGAAAAATGGGTGTTGTAATAATGCTTTATGTTAGGAAAGCTAGTAGGAAGACTACTAGGGTTAGCTAGTAGGAAGACTAAATGAGTTAATATTTGTAACACACTTGTGTCTGGTGTTGTGAAAGTGCAGAGTAAGTAAACAAAAGCTACTCTAGGGATATTTAAAATAGCATTAGAGTTTTCAGTGAATGGCAAGATCACTTGATGACATACGATGCATGGAGGAAACAAAGCTTGAGTTAGATCTGGGAGGTAGAAGGAAGGAAAAAGGTAGAAGAGGTCTCACTAGGTGGACATGATGCAGCATGTTGCCCAACCTGGGCGGGCCTGGTCCAAGGATGTAGATTTTCAGTAGCGAGCATGTGAGGAAGGACAACATGCTGAGGCTGACCTCTCACAGACCGGTGCAGCATCAGGATTACTTCTGGGTGGAAGAATCACCAAGTCCAACTCGAATTGCTAAGGGTTGGGCATGATGAACATGGACATATTTCGAGTTGGATTTTACTATCAAAAGGGGGAAAGTAGCTGGGTTTTTTAGGCAGTTCACTGATCACAAATGTCAGCTTTTCATTTCAGGATGATCAATCCACTTTGGAACAAGGCCAGCTGTGTGCCTCACATTCTCTGCTAAGTTACCAATGAGCCATGAAACTGGCATCCAGCACCAGACAACTGGCATGTCAGCCCTCATTACAGGAAGGGTTTCACTCTTGCTCCCTTTTTTTGCTGCATGACTTTAGCTCCCAGCTAATTTTCTGCTACCTAATTAGCTCCTGGATACCCGTACACTGTTTGCAGGTTTGGCTCCATTTATCATCCCTTTTTGCTCATTCTCCATGCTCTTACTGGAATAGCTTATGTTTATTCATTTACAAGAACAAGTCTGCCCAGTTGAGCTTTCATCTGTAGCATCCCACCACAAAGTCTTAGGCCCTCTTATGTGGGATACAAGTGGATACAGGAATTGAGATCCCAGAGTTCAACCCATCTTGGATGGAAGCTCACAGTAGCTTGGCAGTGCACCATGTCCCGAGTCAAGGAATAGAGAAGTTAGAGCAGAATTCCAGCCTTATCAAGGAAGTGGAATTCAAACAAGAATTGAGGTGGAAGTTTTGTCAACTGCTCAGAAAAGCTATAAGTTAAAAGCCTTTAACAGATGCTGTTGTTACATGAAGAGGATTTTTTATTTCCAATGTATTTCTAACATCAATAGCATATAAGGAACTATGTGTATATAGTTTAGACACCAGAGAAGACTGACCCTAGACTTAAAGCCCTCATAAGAAGAAGAAGCTGAGGAAGATTCATGAACCAAAATGAGGAATTAGATCTGGGAGGTAAAAGGCGGTTTTATTTTCATGTATTGCCTAGGACTGGGAGACGAGTTTAGGGCCAGAACAAGCAGGCTTCTAATGCCAGGAAAGGGATTTGAATTGCTTTGGGGGCAGGGGAAAAAGTTAAATACACTGAGCAATGATGTGTGTGAAAATTAGCTGGCAGTTGTCTATGAGCTGAAATACAATAAAATAGGAAGAGCTGAGTGCAATTAAGATATTCTTTATTCATAGAGACAACATTTTGAGCTTTAAGTTTTTGGTATTTAACATTTAGTAGCTGCTTAATAAATATTTATGTAGTGAGAGAATAAGGTAATTACTCATACCCTCTTCGAATTAGTAAATAAATTTATGTTCAGCTAATCTGACCCTTTATGTGGTGTATTAACTGATCTGACAGCTTTTATGAATATTTCTCATCAAATGGAAAATTCAGCATATATTGAGACAGCACATTTCATTGGTGCAGTGGCATTTTTCTACGATTAAGAAAGTTGATGCTTATAATGAGTTGGAAGAGAAGTTAATTGTCATTGTCTTCTTTCCCTTGATGGTAATGACTGCATTTCAGTCATAGGTTTCTAGAGTCATGTGAAATGTCCACCACTGTCTCTGATGTGGCTTCTGTCCCCTCATAAACTGAACCAATGCTCTTTTCATGAACTCCATTAGCAGCTGTAGCTTGAAAATGCTCACTGCATCAGGGTTTATCACAGTTTTTTCACTGCTAATCTCAGTGCTTGGGGCAGTCCTGATATAGAGTTGGTATTTTTAAATGTTCATCTTGTACAATTTTCTATTGATATTCTATAGCACAAATGATGCTTTTCTAGACTTTGACATGAAAGAAATTAAATTAAATTAAATTAAACAAAGGAAACCTCTTCTCTCCTAAAGTTTTTGTTGGCAGTGTGGGTAAAGAGAGAGACAGAATATATACATAAAGACAAATACTATAAAATTTATGAGTAGTTATAAATGTTACCAAAAATAACACTGGGTAAAAGGAAAGAATTGGCGAACTCTTATTTTAGATACATTATTTATGGAAGACTGTTCTTGGAATAATATTTGAGCAGAGAGTGGCATGAAGTCAAGGAACAGGTCAGCTCTCTGGATATCTGGGAGGAGAAATTCCAGACCACGAGTGAACAGTGATTGTTTATAGTCATTTCTTGTTTGTGGGATGATCTATTTGACACACACAACTTAAGGGAACAAGAGTTTACTTTTCAGAGGTTTCAGTCCTTGGTCAGCTGACTAAAGCAGAAAAATCACGGTGAGAGTGTCTGGCTGAAGAAGAGCAACTAAGAGAAAGAGCAGGTTGGAAAGAGTCAGAGAGCAAAGGTTCAGGAACTAGACATAGTTCCCCAGGTCATGTCTCCACCGTCCACCCAGAGACATCCAAAACTGTCCTATGCTCATCTTCCAGGTGTCTTCCTAGCCAATCAAATTGAAAATCAAGATGCACTATTGTGGTCATTGAACTGAGTTGAATTCTTTATTCCTAAAAACATCAGGATATGTGCTAGGCATGTTGACATTTTGAAATTTTGTTTTTTTAAAATTAGAATATATTTTTTATTTTAAAATT